AAAAAAAAAAAAAACAGCATGCCGGGCATTCATTTACATTCTTCACTCACACAGAGCCAAAATGAGAACATCACTTTTTCCACAAATAAGGAGCATGCTTCCCATTCACTCTCTCTCTCTCTCTAGCTTCCCCTCCCTATATCTGTCTCGGCCGTTGATTGTTGTTGCCGCTCACCCTCCCTGGAACACAGGGGAATACATTCGTGTTTACAAGGTATGAGCAAATCACGAGCTGCCCTCGCCACGCGTGCAGCTGCCGAAAATACTTGGAAACTGCTGTTGCGGCTGTGCTGTTGATGGCTTCTGCGGCACAAAGTGCGTCCGATCGCAGCTGTCACCAGACAACCTCCTCGGATGCGCAACGGCAGGCAACGTTGAGTATCTCTCCTCTGCAGACGGCGCCGCACCCTTGGCGTTCGTTGTTGTTCCTGTTGCTATCACCGCCACAGCCGCCGCCGCCGCCGACTTCTCGGCAGACGCCTGGGGTGAAATGCGCTTCTCAGACGGTGGCGGTGCGGGTGGGCGTGAGCGGCGCAGTTGCTCGTCATACGCGTCGAGGTCGCGGCGCAGCGGCCCGGCAAGCCCATTCTTCTCCACGATTGAGCGCAGCTCATAGAATAACGGGTTCATCGCCTGCCGCATCTTCTCCTGCTGTTGAATACGTCGCGCGTATTGCTCGTTCTGGTCGGAGAGCATCTTCTCCTTGTAGCTCTCCATGATGGTGGACTCGACCTTCATAGATGCAATAGTGTCATTCAGCACCGCCACCTTCTCGCGCTGCTGCTCCAAGTCGCGGCGCAGACTGTCGTTTGCCTCCCGCAGCGACTTGTACGAGGCGTCACCGAGGGCACATTCAAAGCGTTCGATTGAGCGCTTTGCCGCACTGAGCTCGACGCGCAGCTCGCGCGCCTCACCCTTCAGCAGCTGCTCCACCCGCTGACGCTCGCGCTGCCTCGTCTCCAGCTGCACCTCAAGCTCCGCAACGCGCTGCTGCAGTGCCGCCACTTCCGCTTCGGCGTTGGTGGCACGCGCCGCCTCCTTCTCCTGCGCCCTCTGCCGCACCGTCAGCTGCTCCTCCGCGCGCGTCTTCAGAGCGGCAAGGTCGTCGGTGATGCCCTGCACGTGCTGCGCATGCTCGCGCGCGCGCTGTGACAGTGTGTCGCTGAGCTCCTCCACCTTCGCCCGCAGCGTCTCCCTCTCCGCGTTGAGGAAGATGGCGTTCTCGAGGAACTCCTTTTCGCGCCCGGCGTAGCGCGACGTGACGCGCTGCAGTTCTTCGTGCAGCTGGTCGTGGCTTGCCGTCATGCGCAGCAGCCGCTCGAATAGGTCCTTCTCGACGGCGTCCTTCTGCGTCTGCAACTCCTGGGCGTGCGCGCGTGCGGCGTCGCGCTCAGCGCACACTGTCAATAGATCGTCGCGCAGCTTGCGTGTATTCGCCTCTGTGGTCTCCGTGAGTGTGCGCTTCTCCTCTTCCAGCCGCTCTGATGTGGCGCGCAGCACCGCTATTGTCTCGAAGGACTCACGCTCGTTCCTCTCCGCGTTCTCCTGCAGCTTCTGCAGGCGTGTCTTGAGACTGTCGATCTCCGCGCGCAGCAGCGCCTTCTTTGTGTAGGCGTCATCGCCGGCGACGCGCAGCTCCTCCGTGGTCCGCGCGAGGTCCTTCTTGAGCTGCTCCACCTCGCCCTTGAGCGCGACATTCACCTGGAAGTCGTATTGCTCACGCTCCGTCGCCTTGGCGCGGTGCGCGTCGAACTGCTCCTTCACCTCTGCGAGCTCGGCGCTGGTGCGCTCCAGCGTCTTGGTGAGCTCGCCCACCTGTGCTGTGTGCACGCCGATCTCGAGCGATAACTGCCGCCGCTCCACGGTCGCCTCCGCGTAAGCCGTGTCGAGGTCGCGGTGGAGCGACTTTGTTCTGTCGCGTTCGCTGTCGAGGAGCGACTGCACCGCCTCTAGTTGCCGGCGGCGGTCCGTGGAAGTCTCGTGTAGTCGCTTGCACTCGTCGCGCGACGCCTCGAGCTGCGAGTTAAGGAGGCTGATGAGCACGCTGCCCTTCTCGTCGTCGCGGCCCTTGCGCTCGAGCTCCGCCTGCAGCAGCCGCGCCACCTCGCGGTGCTTTTCCACCTCCTCGTGCAGCACCTTCAGCAGAAGCGCCGTCTCCGCGTCGGAGCTCTGCGGCTTGACGCTGGCGAGCCGCGCGTCGAGGTCGCCGGAGTCGCCCGACGTCTGCAGCAGCGTCAGCTGCGCCTGCTGCTCCTCGTAGGCGCGGCGGAGCCGCTCGTGCTCGACCTTCAGGGCGCGGTGTGCGTCCACCTCGGCGTCGTGGAGATGCTCCAACTCCCGCAACTGCGCGTGGGTTTCGCGGTCCTTCCTCTCCAGCAGAGCCTCCGTCTCGACGAGTTTCATCTGCGAGAGCTCGAGTTCGTTGCCAAGCATCGACACACGGCGCAGTGTGGACTCCAGTTCCTGCTGCATTGTACTCGTGCCCTGCTGTAGCCCGTTCAGCCTCGCGCGCAGCTCCCGCACCTCACACCCCTTCTGCTCGATCGTGTCGCGCAGCTCCTCCTCACGGACCTCGAAGGCAAGGCGCAGCTCACGCTCGGTGATGGCGCGCTGGATGTCCATCTGCCGCTGGCGGTGGGCGTCCATCGCGCGGCTCCACTCCTCCACCAGCCGCTGGCGAGCCTCCTCCTCGAGCTTGCGCAGCCGCTCCTGCTCCTCTGCAAGTTTGCGCAGCTCCGCCTGTCGCGCCGCCTCGGCCTTCTCAGCGTCGTGCGCCGTCGACTTCTTCTTCGATGGCATTCCTCTCCAATCTACCAGAGTTTGCACTCAACTAATCAGTAGGCGCGCACGCGACACCAACAGAGGGAGAGGAAACAAGATGGGGGCGGGAGGGGGAGAGCACGCGAACAGGAAGACAGGGGAAGCGACACGCAGTTCGTGGTGCGAGAGGCAGCGGTATCGACGCAGAAACACTTGCAGCCGCAATGGCGGCCTCCCTCCCCACAGTTACCTCCCACCTTCCCCAGCAG